ACTCCAGAATCTGAAGAAGCAACTCAGCAACCATTGTAGTTCAGGAGGAGATAATTAAATGATGTTTTGAAAGCCAGTTAATCTGATGATAAATATCATATTTCTATCACCTATACCTTTGTCATTCTTGCTTTTTATCATATAATAAATAAGAAGTTGCTACAAAAATAATTCTTCTGGTTACACTCACTCACAATTAAAATCATAATAACTCACATTATTTTTATCCATTTTCAGTAGTAATGAAACTGCAAGTTCATACTAATTTCATTGTGCAAATGTTTGAAAAACATAGAAAAACTAAAGATATTACTTTGTAAGAATGATAACTGATAATCGTTGCGTAATCCTTGTTATATTGCTATATTTTCCTTTCAATATACAAAATGATCAATACTTATAAAATCTGACTGTTACTTGTTTATGTAAGAAATGAGATCATCTGTAGATTGAAATACAAAGCTAGAGAGAAACGATGTTCATATTAGCTTTTGTTATAGTAAAATATATTGTTCTGTGAAATTTTTCAATGTCTGATTATTATTTAGTAATATTTTTTGTACTTTTTCTCTCTTGTGCCAATGAATTTACTCAAAAATATGAAGTCAGTGAAAATGAGTTCATATTTTTGTACACAAAAATATTATAATTAGTTAATATTTCGTTTACGATCACAATACCAATCTTATCATCTCAAGATTAGAACTGCAATTGATTTATTCTAAAACTAGTACGAGTAAAACTATGGTATGAATATTAAATTGAAAACGATTAATTCTATTTAGATAAGAAAATATTCTATGATCAATGAGAAATCCTTCGAAAATATATGAGACCTTAACATATTATCTTTTTTCAATTTTATTCTAACAAAATAGTAACAAAAATATATTATTGTTTTCGTTGTCGTGCTAGTTTCAATAAATTTGAGATTAAACAAGCCACTGTCACGGCACCAACGCCACCAGGTACGGGAGTTACCCATCGAGCAATACGTTTTACTTCTAAAATATATTAAATTATCTCTCAACAAAAAACAAAAACATCAAAATCTTACCATCAAAATCAACATCACCAACAAATCGTTTGTTGCTTACTACAGCTTTATCAGTCCAACTTTTCGATATACCTACATCAATAACAATTGCACCTTCTTTAACCATACGATATGTAACAAGTTCTGAAAAGCAAATATAAAAAAATACGAAATTCATTTTCTACAATCAGCACTTTACTTGGACGACCTACAGCAGATATAATAATATCAGCATTTTTACAATACCAAGTTAAATTTGTTGAAGGTGTATGACGATGACAAATAGTTACAGTTGCACCACTTATTAAATCACTTTTAGCAGTAATATTTGATTGACTAAGCATAAGTGCTAATGGTGTACCAACATATTTCGAACGTCCAATAACAACAACATCTTTTCCTTGTAATGGTTCACCAATTTCTAATAACATCTCTTTGACGGCATCTACAACTGGTATAGTTACAAATGGACTAGATGATTGTCGATATGAATAATTATTTAATGTTGTATGTCCATCAACATCTTTATCGGATCGAATTGCATCTATAAATTGTTCAGTTTTATCAATAAGATGTAATGGTAATGGTAATTGAAGAATAATTCCATCAACTGAATCATCATTATTCAAATCTTGAATTGTATCGATTAAATTTGATGGTGTTACATGCATTAAATGATTGATAACATGAAAATCAACACCTGTATAAATAAATTTTCGAAAAAAAACAAATCAATAAAAAATGTTGAAATATTTCAAAAGAAAACAACCGACGTGTTCGGCGATACGTTGTTTATTTCGTACATAAAGTTTACTGGATTCATTTCCTCCAACAAGTATAGCAACAAGTTTTGGACGATGATTATATTTTTCTATATATTCTTTACATTCATTTTGACATCTATTCAATATACGTTCAGCAACTGGTTTACCATAAAGAATATTATTTTTAATTGATGCTGTTTGAAAAGTATCTGTAACAAGAAATCTGAATTAAATATATTTATATATTTAAATAAAATATTTGTATTGAAAATACAGACCTTGTTGGTGAAATAGTTAATTTAAAGAAATGTTTAATTGCTAAACAAAACATTTTGTATAAATAAATTCAAAACTAACGAAAGAACTCGATTGCAGACAAATATAAACCAGTTAATTCAATTACGACGACATCTGTCAAGCGTCGCACTAATACATCATATAAATATGGGTGAATCCGTGAGAATCCTACCACTTTTTGGAAAAGTTCTTTTTTTGGCAGAAAGCCTTAAACGCTCGAGAAAACGTTATTCGCCAAAAAAAAAAGAAACTTTTATGTTGAAATCCTGAAGTTTTCTCAGAACGTCTATAGATGTATTATATGTTCGAGCCATCGTATCAGTAGATGACTACTAAATACTCAATCAGCCTCCAGATGGTTATACCATTAGAGTTTATTTGTAAACGTCCTTAGTAGGTCAAAAATTTCGAAAAACAGCAGATCTTTTGAAAATGAATGATTTCTCATGATATGAAATTTATCATATTTTTTCGATTTTTTTCCCCAAAAACTTGACTTAAAAAAATTTTAAAATACACAGTTTTGTAGAGCTCGACGAGTTCTATCAAGCCACATATAAATCGCGAAAAAAAAATTTTTTGTCTATTTTTGCATTTATTGCACCTTACAAGTTCCAAAAAATGACCTAGAACTTGACCATTTCATTAGAAATAATACTTTTTTTTTTGACGAACCACGTTGTCTATAGTACTTCTATCTTTCTGAGTGATAAAAACCCTTGGTTTGAATATTTAATACGTCGTCTACTGATATGATGCTGGAACATGTAATACATATATAGACGTTCCGAGAAAACTCCAGGATTTCAACAAAAAAGTCTCTTTTTTTTCGGCGAATAACGTTTTCTCGAGCGTTTAAGGCTTTCTGACAAAAAAGAACTTTTTTTCAAAATCGTGGTAGATACCTACGGATTCAGCCATATATGTACGATATTTCCTATTGATTGAGATACGAGAAACATAAGCTTTGTATATATATTTATATAGATAGATTTTATTGTATTAAAATAAAACAAATTATTTTAGTAGAATTTCGCATATATATATATAGACAGCACCGTATATAAATACACACACACACACACACGCGCATGAACAAAACAGAAAAAAGAATATGAATTATCACCATAAGCGAAAACGTGATTTTATTGAACGAAAACTATCATCGATTGATGTATCCGGTGATGAACAACGTACAAATCTTGGTAATGATGATTTACGTCTTGGTAATGGAGCGGTTGTTAATAATGATGCTTGATTATTACATGATGAATTACTTGTTCGAAGTATAGCTGAAATCGAACGATCTAGAGAATACATAAAATTAGTATTGCGAAGAAAAAAGTATTCTTTATTTTTATTCTTACTTTGCCTTGTCATTGTTGGAAGTGATTTTGATGATGATTGATCAGCAAGATATTGTCGAGTTTTAAGTGTTGCTATTCGTGTATAAAGCGGAATGTCTAAACCTTTTGATAAATTTTCTTCGACATATGCTCGTTCATATTCTAATGAATCCATCATTTGCATTTTATCTAATGGTGTTCGATGAGTAAATAAATAAGTTTTATTTTGTGTACGATCATACAAACGCCAAGCATTTAATAAATGAACGAGATTTTCTTCATCTAAACGTGATACTAAACCAAAAAGATTAATTATTAAAATTAATTTTCAATTTTACCTTTTCCATCTCTAAGATCTTCAATTTCTGTATTATCTAAATCAGCTCGATCAGTATAAATCAATGTATTTCGTCGATCCTAAAACAATTCGATTTATTTCAATATATTTCATTTTTCGTAAATATACCTTTCTACAAATAATAAGTACATGATCAAAAAGAAACAAAATTACTGGTTCTTTTTTTCCATTTTGATATAAAAACGCATCAGCACGTCCAAGACCTTGTGCACTTGTTTCAACTAAATCTTTCCCCTATAATCGAAAAAAAAATATGAATAGTTTAAATCGAAATACAATAATCATGTTTCGATGTATTACCTGCCAACATTCAACTGTATGCTGCCATTTATGAATAATTTCCACATATTCCATACGTCGTTTTTGTTCATTGATATAACTCGCAACATCACGCATTGTATTTAATGCTTGTTTAATATTATTATAATCTTTATGTTCATATGGAGTATATTTTAATAATTCATTTAATTGTAATGGATATTGACATATACGTTGGATGGGTGTTAGAAGAAAAGCATCTAATTTTAGTTCAATCATATTCGCTTCTAATCGACATGTCTAAATGATTGATATAGAATTAATTTTTTCATATGATTATGTATTAACTTACTTCAAAAAACTCTCGATAGATAGGATTATTTTCTAGTTTAATCAATTCTAAACATGATAATGGATGATTAATACAATAATCTGAATATTTCTTAAATTGTTCTTTCTAAAATAGGAAAAATATTGATGTTTTGTTTCATTCGAGAAAATTAATCTTACATAGAAAAGAAAACATTTTCCAATGAGACTTTCATGTGGATTTCGATCATTTAGAGATAATTTTAATAAATGAAAAAATGATTGTTGAATATGATAGATTTCTTCAATATTTCCCATTAATAATTCAATTTGTTTGTCACAAAATAAATCCGAATGTAAACGCATCTTTTTCAAATAGCCCTAAGGAAATAAATTAAATTAACATGTACATAGATCAACCAATGAT